CCCTAAAGTACGGAATATCCCTAAATGTAGGATACCCTAAAGTACGGAATATCCCTAAATGCAGGATACCCTAAAGTACGGAATATCCCTAAATGCAGGATACCCTAAAGTACGGATTATCCCTAAATGTAGGATACCCTAAAGTACGGATTATCCCTAAATGCAGGATACCCTAAAGTACGGAATATCCTTAAATGCTTGATACCCTAAATAATGCGATATTCCTAAGTGCAGGAATGTACTACAGTGTGTGAGACCCTGGCATTAGTGAGGAGCAGCAGCGTGCTTGTGTACATCACTGTGTGACGACTGTTTGTTTGTTTTCAGGTGTCTAAAGAGAACGTTGCAGTACGTTGAGAACCTGCGCTCGATGACCCATCCAACACGCAACCGCTGGATGGAAACCCGCGCACTCACTGAAGCCTTCATCCACAGCTTCCTAATCCACGATCCAGCGCCGATCTCAGGGTTAAAATCCTTACCCTAGCATTGAAAACCTCGTCTCCGTATTAAGCTCCCTTTGTTACCTCCGCCAAGAGGTTGGCAGGAGGTGATGTTTTCACCGGCGTGTGTTTGTTCAGCGAGTGTTTGTTGGTTTGTGGGTTTGTGTACAGCCTAACTGAAAAAGTTATGGACGGATTGTCATACAATTTTCAGGATAGGTCAGAAATCGCCTGACTTAGAATTGATGACATTTTGGTGGTGATCCGGATCCAATTAATTAATTAATTAATTAATAAAAATTTTAGGATAGCTCAGAAATGGGGTAACTTAGAATTCATTACATTTTCGTGGTGATCCGGATCTAATTAATTAATTATTTAAATGAATTTTCAGGATAGGTCAGAAATGGGGTAACTTAGAATTGATTACATTTTGGTGGTGATCCGGATCCAATTAATTAATTAATTAATTAATAAAATTTTTAGGATAGGTCAGAAATGGGGTAACTTAGAATTCATTACATTTTCGTGGTGATCCGGATATAATTAATTATTTAATTAATTAATAAAAAAATTTACAGTGAGAGAATTCAGCTGCCTTGGCGGAGGTCTGCGCTCTCCGAGTGCTCTAGTTGGTTTTAAATTTCAAGCATTGAACTTCTGACCTCAGCATTGAACTCCTGACCGCATTAAACTCCTGACCTCTGCATTAAACTCCTGACCTCAGCCTTCAACTTCCGATAAACTTAGCAAATATTTTTCTCTATATTAATCTCTCGAACTCAAACAGCAACCAGTTTTCTAAGTGATGGAGTCGATTGTGCTGCACCACTCACTAGGAGGCATTGAGATCACTTGAATATGTACTGTGTCGCTGTATCTACTCCTGATATAATATAGGCATCTCTTTCCTACTCTGCGAGAAATGATTTTATCACGAGACCTTTTGAACACGTGACGTCACGTAACAGTGACTCGCATGCCTGTGTAGAGTGTTATTGTGTTCTGTGAAGTATATGGATAACGTCGCTTGACTCACAAACACAACATTAGTCCCTGAGACAGGACGTGGCCGCCTGAAGCTCTAAACTGAGATCTCTTGTGCTAGTTATTGCACGAACATGATTTTAAATTGGTATACAGTTGTACCGGCTTTGTTGGGCCTTTGATAAAAGACGCATACCTTAATGAGGACATTTTCTTGGTTACCGACCTGGCTCGATACAGCGGGGACCACTGTGTTTACTTAACATCGGAATCTAGTCATTTGTAAAGTACAGTTATGGCCACTGCATGCATGGCTATCCATTTATTGTATGCGTTCCTAACTCATCTTACCATGTGCTATAATATCATACCTATTTGCTGGTAATATTTTGTGATGTTAAATTGTATTATACTCTCGGTGTTTGGTTTATGTTATCTTTTCAAAAACTTAAGGTAGTGTAGTATCGTCACCGCCAATATGACAGTAGCGGCAAAGGAGACATGCTTCCATATCTCAAAAATCGTTCGGATCTGTTCCATCCATTATGCAGTAGTCAAATTTGAGATAATGAAATGAATTCTGCACTCTCGCAACTATTTCTAATTAAAACACTGTTCAGCTCGGTTTCCCTTTTTTTGTAATTTTCCAGGTTTGAACTGTACTTTGTTTAGAACAGTTTCAATTTAAACCTGAAAATCAAAAGCTGTATTATTAGCTCGACCAGATGTTAGCGTCTCTCTGAGACTTCATTATTCGTATTTCATGCATTCATTTCACGCGATTATTTCATTTTTTCTTCGTGGTTCCTTTTCACATACGAACCGAATTCACTGTAAGCACGTTTGGAGTTTGCCATATTGTGTGTTTACTGCAGTCATGGCAACCGATCGACGTAACACTGGATGCACGTCACGCACGAGCACCGGATAGCTAATGAGAATATCATCAATATTATTATATTTTTAAATAAAACTCCGGTATATATAATATATAAATAACTGCTGGTGGCATACGTAATATTGTCACGTGATCACGTCTCATTTCTGATTCGCTGTCGCTGTCGCTGCGCGTTGGATTGATGGAGCGAATGAAGCTTCAGCAATGTTTGTGTACATAAATGATATATTACGATAATGATTAAAACAAGTATTGAATTCACTGGTTGTTGCGTATTGTCAGGTATTGTGTTGTGATTTGACTAACGACAGCGCCGATCTAAGCTAAGCCGTAAGCATAGGCTCGAAGGTGACGTGTCGCGTCATGTGACACGCTGCAATGTTGCGCGATTCAGGACGGCGTTGGTATGGAGAAAGTGCGGCACGCAGGTCACTCGCTGTGGTCAACCTGCATATCTTCAGGAGAAGATAGGTCAGAGCATATCTTCAAGAAAGGATAGTAGCCTACTGTTACGAACTGTTTATATGACGACGTTTATTATATATTATCCCCTCTTATACTCGCACTTAAAATTATTTATTCCACTCGATAGTATCCTATGTATAAGTATTATCCTCTCTCGACATTGTGCTAATAATTAGGATGAGTCTGCGATGATTGTACATGCGCTCCCATCTGCCCTCGTCTCTTCTCATGGCATCTCTTTTAATTTCTTCTCTTCTCTTCTTCTCTCATCTATTCTCCTCTCCTCTTTTCTTTTCCTATCTCCTCTTCCTCTCTTCTTCTCCTCGTTTCTGCTTTCCGCCTTCCTCTCTCCTCATCTCCTCTCTCCGCTGCTCTCTTTTCCTGTCCTCTCCTATATTTCTCATCGCCTCTCCTCTCCTCTCTTCTCCTCTCCTCTCCTCTCTTCTCCTCTCCTCTCTTCTCCTCTCCTCTCTTCTCTTCTCTCTCCTCGCCTCTCTTTTCGCCAGCTCTCGTCTCTCCTCTCCTCTTTTCTTCCTGCGCTTATATACGCTCGCACTACTGGTGCTAATGGTTATCGCTTTGCTGTTTCGAATGCTAGAAGTATTTTTGCAAGCTAACTAACGTCGCGAAATTACCTATTTTTACCACGTCGTGTATTCCGACGTTATTCCTTTCTAATTAACGTGCGATTGCGGCCAGCACACGGCGCGATTCCGTTGTAATTAACCGGTGACCGAGTCGGATAGAAATCCTAAAGAACCTCTTGGACGAACTGACGCGTGTGTGACGAGTTAGTAACGGCCCGGTAAGTGATAATAAACCAGCCGCACTCATTCACGCATTTCGCCTCGTCTCTACGTCAGTGAGGTAATATGAGGAGAACATAAATTGACGTCTCTATTTAAGTACGCCTGGTAATATCAAGAGCATAAGCAAGAGGTAATATGTTAGCATGGCCGTAACCGCCGTGCGGGGGCGCTGCGATTGCTGTGATAGTGACCAAATGGCGCACGTCAAGCTGCTCCGCATGTTATTCGGAGTTCGAAACTCTATTAGAAGTTTTCCGCAAAAAAAAAAATTTCGCAAGGTCATTACACGTTGACAACCGTTGCACATGTAGCGCGGTCACGCGACTTATAGAACTAATTGGGTTGCTGTGGGCGGCCTCGCCATGCAGTCATGACTGGAGGATAGTCTCTTGTTCCGTGAAATTAAGTCGGAGCGAAAAAAAGGCATTCGCGTCGAGAACACATCTCAATTTGACGACGGACGCTATTATCGTTGGTTGCCTAGGTGGTTTAATGAGACAGTGAAACACGAAGCGAGATCGAAGCAGGCTCTGTCTGAGCAATGCAACCAAGACACATAACAACGAATTTTCTTTTACAGCGCTCTTTGATTTAATCCATCATTTTATCATTATTTTATTTTATCATTATCATTATCATTATTTTATCATTATTTTATAGCTCTGCTTTCGCTCGCTACGAAAAGTACGAATACCTAGCAGGTCTGATAGACCGTCAATCCTGACCCACTAGGAACTGAACTATTCTATTTCTATTCTATTCTATTCCATTCTATTCTAACTATTCTGTTCTATTCTGAACTATTCTGAAGAGAAAGTCATCCACGTACGGTATATATGACTTTGCGAGGATGTTCCCTTGCGTTTTAATGAGGGTCGGATGCGCGCTGCCGTGCTCTGTAAACGTGTTTGTTGTTACTGTCGTTGATAACAATAATTTGTGCGCGCGTCACTAACGAGAACACGGGCCGTCGTCGCGCTCAGCACGTCGATAGCCGCGCACCGCAGAAACGACGTCATCGTGGTGCGACGAGTTGTGGAGACGGGGAATTGCGGGGGCGATGTAGATAGATTGTGAGGAAGGGGTGGTAGGGGGAGGGGTTGATAGATTGTGAGGAAGGGGTGGTAGGGGGGAGAGGTTGATAGATTGTAAGGAAGTGGTGGTAGGGGGAGAGGTTGATAGATTGTGAGGAAGGGGTGGTAGGGGGAGAGGTTGATAGATTGTGAGGAAGGGGTGGTAGGGGGAGGGGTTGATTAATTGTGAGGAAGCGGTGGTAGGGGGAGAGGTTGATAGATTGTGAGAAAGGGGTGGTAGGGTGAGGGGTTGATGGATTCTGAAGAAGGGGTGGTAGGGGGAGGGGTTGATTGATTCTGAGGAAGGGGTGGTAGGGGGATGCAGGGTTGTGAGGAAGGGGGTGGTTGGTTATTTGTTATGGAGTTGAGGTGTTGTGGAGGTGTCGTTGGAGTGGATGTTTTTGGGGAAGGAGGGCTGAGGAGCTGTTACAGTAGTGGTTGAGGGTTGTGGAAGAGGGGGTTGTGAGTGGGGTGTGCGAATTGTAGGTGTGTGGGATGGTGAAGAAGCGGCTTCAGCTGTTGTAGGGGCTTGTGGTTGTAGGGTTATGGGAGACGCAGGTTGAGGGGAATTGTTATGGGGTTGGGAGCTGCATGGGGCTTGTGGTTGTAGGGTTATGTGAGAAGCGGGTTGACGGGTTGTGGGAAAGAGCGTTGAGGGGTTAGCTAGATGGCTGTGGGGTTGAGGAGTTGGGGTTTATGGGGTTGAGGGATTTTGGGGAATTTGGGCTTGAGAAATTGTAGGGTTGTGGAGTGAGGAAGTGCATGAGTGCGTGGAACGGGCGAAACGTCAGCTGGAGATACGTCGATTGCCACCATCAGTAAACGAATTGTGACAACAAAGAGAAACGCGCGCCTACCCGCTCTCCATTAATAGGTTGCGGGGTTGGCGGAGAGTAAGCGAGATGCGAAGAGGGGTG